AGAGAGAGAGAGAGAGAGAGAGAGAGAGAGAGAGAACGAAAGTGGAGAAATTTATTCGAATTTAAATATTTCTCCTTCGAGTCGCGTTGGCCGCGAGGCAGTCGGTGGTTAGACAACTTTGACCTCTGAACCGGAACTGAAGCGGCGTGCTGCACCCATGTGTACTCTATACACAGGGTGCCCTACGGTTCAGCGACAAAATTTTCCGAATGTACACACAATCTACAGGTACGCAAAATGTTGCTGTTGAAACTGTATCGAAAAGTTCTCACACGGCTGCTTGTTGTTAGGCTGCGTTACGACGTGACTAGTAATTAGTTTCGAAAACGTTCGCCGTTGCTGTCGCGACACAAAGCCGACACAAACCCGGATGGCGAAATTGGATTTTTCAGTCCGCCAAGACCACGAAGACGAATTTTGATGGAATTTCAACACGGAATACGTAAGTGAACGCGTATGTTTGTAAAATGGTTTGCTTACGTCACGCGAAGTGAAGTTTCAGCTGCTAAACCCTGAGACACCCTGTACAAGCGTGTGCAGGTACAGGTGTGCCTCGTGCACACGCGACACACAACCAGTTGGAAGTTATTCGAGAGAGAGAGAGAGAGAGAGAGAGAGAGAGTCTGTTAACGCGGTGTTTGAGGAAGCACGCTACAACTAGCTAGGGCCAACATGCAGCAAAACTCGGCCGGATAGAGGGGAAATCCTTTGAAACACGGGCCAGAGAAAAATTCATTTCGGCATTTCAAGTTGAAAACGGGACGGCACACACGGCGAAAACGAGTTCCCTGAGCGTATGCCTCGACGAGATATTGGTTCTCTTATGGTTCTCTTGCGCGCTCGGTCCGGCACTCCTCGCGAAAAGGAATATACAGAGCGTACGATGGAGTTGATATCGGTCGTCCGACATGTGGCCTTGGTAAACCGCGAACACAATTTGGAAACGTTACTCCGAGGCGGCGACGAACGGGCCGCGCGCGAGAGAGAGAGAGAGAGAGAGAAGTAAAAACCACCGCGGTAGTCATTATGCATTCGCAAACATTTGCCAGTCTTTAGGCGGGTGCCTCCGTGGATATGAAAATTCATTGCCACGTCGCGCGCCAAATTAATGCTATCCTTTTACCGGGATTTGTTCGTCCTTACGATCGACAGCAACGACTGCCACGCGCGAGTCTCGTAGAGTCTCTGGTAATTTCGTAATTTCAAAGTCTATCGTCCGACTGTTTTCTTTCCCGTTCCCGACTGAACCGACCGAGCGGGAAAATGTTTGAGTTGCAACTGCGAACGATTCTTACTGAATTTTTGTTCTCAACGCAGCGGCGGACCATTCGCGAAAGTTAGAAAATTCGTTCGCGCGATCGATCTTTGAACTTTGGACGACCTAACGAAAAACGCCGAGACAATTTCCTTCGATAGAGAGAGAGAGAGAGAGAGAGAGAAAGAGAACGGAACTGAATGTTGAAAGAACGCGAGCCACGAGGGAGGAAAAAAAAAAGAAAAAAGGGAAAAGAACTATGATGTGAAATATTGATAGGAGAGCGAATCAAAGACCTAGTTTCTCCTAGGGGAGAAACCGGAGCACGTTTCCCTCGATTTTCAATTAAACAGTTGACTACTTAAAAACCTTGGAGCCAATGGAAAGCATACCCTCGCAAATTCGTAATAAAGTTCGCGAGATGTCGGCACGACGCGTGCTTAAAGGAATTCTCAATTTCCTCAAATTCACTTTTTCAACGGGCAAAGAGCATCGTTCGAACATCTGATGCTTCTTTTCTTTCTCTCTTCTTTTTTCGAAATTAATGTTGAAACAGACAACGTCGCGTTAAAATTAACTCGTTTTGGTTTCGATCGAGGAATCGATTCGCAACATGTGCGTTAAGTTACGTACGCGTTGAAGCGTCGAGACGACTTGCCACGGGACTCCTGGAAACGTCTGGGAACTTCAATATACCTGCAACACGAAAGATTGCAAAATTAATTAAATTTGCATTATCGACGCATGGATCGATGGATAAGATTTTCAATTGCCAAGCAAGGTAGAAAATAACGAAGTACGGTAGTGCCCACTTAAGCGTCCGTCGCTATCCCCGCCAATTATTGTAATTGAAATTAACTATCCCCACTTTACGCTACTTCATCCCGTGTGAAACACGAAACACAACGAAGCGATATATGATACCGATATTTCGGCACATTATAACTGTTTCGGACACATATCGATCAAAGTTGGGCAAATTTTATATTAAATAACAAATACATGTCAAATTTATATGTACTGATACGATTACAGAATTATACTATGTGTATCGTTGATTTAATATCGATGGAAATGTAACAAGAAACCTTTATTCAAGGTTTCCATTCAATTACCGATAATTATTGATCAACAACTACTTTTATGGAAATTTCAATTTTCGAGAAATTTAGATTAATTACAATCATCTGATAATTAGTTAAAAATTAAAATAGTTCAAATGTATTCAGTTTAAATGTTAAAATGTTAAATTTCTTTACAACGTAGAAATAACATCGGACCCTCACCACCACTCTTTCTTTCGGTGCCAATTCGCAGAATACACTACCCCTGGTAAGCGTCCGTCTTAAGAGACCATCGCCATGCTCCTTTTCAAATACTCGACCGAGTGATTATTCGCAATTACGTATTATCTACAAACAAGCGAGCTAGATTTCTATATCGAAGCGACAGGCCGCTGAATAAGTACACGTGAACGATCGATGACAGCGAGCTATCGGGTCAATAGCGATGACAAATCGTGTGTCGAACAAGAATCTAGTCAATTAGCGATTGAACGCGGGTATGTATAACAAAGCTTCGATCTGGATTGGCTGGCTAAGCAAACGTCAATCATCGGGACCGATCGACAGGATTATCTCTCGAACGAGGGAAACGAGACGCCTTGGCGAAAAATGTCTTCCCTGTTGGATACATTATCTGTGCTAGTCACGATGTGCCAACTGTAACGGCACGGCTGTCGTTGCAATGATTGCATCGATTATCGTGGCAAACGTCACGTCCTTCAATTGTTATTAGCTTGAGTCGCAAATAATTTCCGTCCTCTGAGAACAAATTATTTAACGATTTGTGCATTTGTCATCCTAATGACTCGTCGAATTCGTTTTAGACAGATAAATAAATAAGTATCCCTGTTGCTAGCCTTTATTACAGCAGTGGCAACGTATACATCGGAATTAAATTCCACAGATTTGAAAGTGAATATTCGACGCGTGAGTTTAAGCTACGCAGACATGCAAAAAGATATGCAGTATTTTTGCGAAATTTCATTCTGCAGACACGTTGTTGGAAGATGAATTCAAACTAGGCTATATATTCGCCAGACATTGATGACGAAGCTTTAAGATCATTGATGGAATGCAAGCCACAACAAAATGTTTGGCAATTATCAGACAAATTGAACGCATCACATGTCCGCCATATGCCGGCATTTAGAAAAGATAGGGAAAGTCAGGAAGCTGGGTGTTGGTACGTTCCACGTGCTCTTAGCGAAAAGAACACAGCGACCCGTATAGAATAAGAGCAACGCAGGAAAAAATTTTAGAGCTTGACTACTCTATCCTACTCTACTCCTGCCATACTCACCTGATTAATAAAGTTCGATGGAGAAAAAAATTCCAATAACAACCAAGTTTGAAAGTTTGTCAAAGAAACAAGTTGAATTCTACGCTAATAAGCTGATAAATGGCACCGAGTAATTGCAAATAATGGCGAGGTATATCACAGATTGTTGTTTGTTTCATTGATAAGTAAAATTGTTCCACCGGAAACGGAAATTATTTACGTCTCAGCTTAACCACAATTAGACGCGAAAGTCGTAACGCGAAACGAAATTTACGAAGAGAAGGATGTGAAAGGAAAAGTCGATTAACCGCCTCGAGGTTTTCAAGTTCATATTCTGGGTCCATTTTCTCGCCTGGAGTCGCGTAACCGGTGATAACGCTCCGCATCGATAAATCTCCTCGTCGCAATTCTGATTCTCTACGAGAGGTTCGGCCGTATAATAATTCAGCGTATTTCTCGTTGTCGGCGATGGTCCCTGGTGCAATTTGCTCCATTGGCAGGGAGAATAGAAAACGTAAAGAACAGAGGGCCAGGGAGAAGCCTGGAGAATCCCGAAGATGAAACGAATTCGCTTAACAATATCGTATCTCTGTGACGTACGTGCGGGGAATATCGTGAAAAGAGGGAAGAAAGCGCGCAGTGGTCAGCGACGAGCTAATATCTCCACTCGGCTGATCTTCGTCGCTTTTACAAATGCGCATTGCGCGACGACTGATTTAGCTTGCAAGAGAGTACAAAGTGTAGCGCACTATATTTCTCTCTTTTTTTCTTTTTTCTTTTTTTTTTTTTTTTTTTTTGGTCAGGTAAAAAGCGGAGATGCGACGTCCGGGAAAATGGAGGAAATCCGGGAAATTGCGAGGAGATATTCTCTCTCTGCCTCTGTTTCTCTCTGGCACGTTTTTCGTAGGACGTTAATTCCGATCGGTAAAATTTTCGAGAGAGAATCGCAGCGATTTCGAGAAGCATCGAGTTTCGAATTTATAACAGGACGATCGGCTGTTGTTCGCCGCTGGAAATGTCCGAATTTAGCGTCCCATCGTCGAAATCGCTATCAATTATAAATCCAGAATGAATCTGGTCCACGCGCGAATATTCATTCGCGTTTTTAAATGCAATTTTCCGGGATATCAGCCCCCTGGACAAACCGATCGGATGATACGTAAAAAATTGACAAACGACTCGTTAACGTTGCATATGGGTGGAAATCCAGCCCGTTTGATCGAGCCGCTCTAATATTTCCGGCGGGAAGTAAATTTCCTTTTTTTTTCTTTTTTTTTCTTCGTTACACAGTCGGTCATGGCGAACGCGTGTTGTTTGCCAGGCAAGACCGCGAACAAACGGTTTTTATATTTCCCTGGCTGACGCGACAAG